CAATTATACGTAGTTGTACGTTTCAAGTGCGGTTAGGTTGACATCGCCATTAGTTACGAGTTAATAATCCATGGTTAATTCGAGTAATTGATAAAGACAAACAAAGTTTTGGTCCAATGAGTGCTTGAATTATTTACTGTTAACACCTTTTCGAAGGAGTGGCCTTTCTTAGATCGTTGCTGTATCAACTCCCACTCTGCTGAGGGCCTGAAAGTGATGCAGGAGGTTCAATGTGCTGTTTCAGTCGGTATGGACTGTGGTTGCTCGCCACCTGTCAACGATATCGTTCCGCGACCAAATCCCTCTACAAAGAATGAAGCGTCCCTAAATTTTTTCAGCTGGATAAAGGTTTTGTTAACGACTACAATGGTTCACGAGAGTTGGCATCCAAATGGACTGTCGAGCAAGAATTCTTCACTCAAGAAACTATTATTCACACAACGGCACTTCTCCAAGTGAAGTGATCGATGCAGAGTTATTAGGACGTTCAACGCTTTCGTACAATAACGTATAATTGCATCACATGACTCTTAAGCAACCGCAGGAAGAATCATTAGAAAATCTGCAGACCTCCTGTGCATTTTCGCATGATACATGAGGCATCAAGTGTGAAATGATCGTCAGTTTTTCTCATGGATCTTTCTAAATACTGAATCTTCCTCATGGCATACGACGATTTTCAGATATCGTGAGATTGGAAGAAAGGTTTCTGAGAATTTTTCCTTTGAAAGACAATTGGTTAGATTGCTGCACTGTCTAGAATTTAGCTGCTTGATTTATGTTATGTGTTTACAGGCAACAACATACTAGAGAGGCATATTCTTGTTGTTAGCCTAACCTCCTTGCCTTTGTTATAATAAATCAGCTTTTCTTCCTCACGGTCATAACTGTCATCGAACATCATTAACAGCAACATTACAATTATTGCTCTCAGGCATTCATATCGTGATGGTTGTCAATATACTGCTCTTTGTGATAATGTATTCGTGTACTTCCATGTTGTATTCTACTTCACTATTAGATGAATTGTACTTCAATTGGGGACTATCTGCTTAATCGATAACAAAAAAACAAACAAAACAACAAATCAACAAATAAACTTAACATTATAGTTTATCATATCCTGTTTAGAGAGAGATATCTCGGTACATTTTTCCATGCCAGTCTTCTTTTTTCATGTGAAATTTTGGCGCCAGTTGTGTTGTCCTGGTCTTTCTTTCGGTCTTGATCTCAAAATAAAGGCATATAGATAAAAACTTTTCTATGATTGATCATCAATGAAGATATAGGCGAAAAATTTAACCACTCAATTTGCCTTTGAATTATCGATCCCTCCTCGAAATGGGCTAAGAAACAGCAGCTACGAACGCCTTGACTGGTTGACATCTATCTGAAACAAATATTCAAAAGGGTCAGGCCGTCTCATGCCTGATTTAAAACGCCGTGCTTGACGTTGCTTCTGTGTTAGACGTCGTTTTCCTCAATAAAATTTCTACGAGAATGACAACAATCGTCAGAACCCTTTGATTGAGACACTCGGACGGAATGAATTAGAATGAGTGGTCCATTTTCCTCCATAGAAGCACTTTCTTGTCACAATTTCATC